TAGGGAGCAAGCAAGCTCCCTATGTGATGGCCAATTTGCAGTGACAGGTCCTCTTTATGGAGATATCAGGGGTCTTAAGACCCCTAATGTCACCTAGGGACCCCCAGAGAAGCTGATGAAGCAGAGACCTGCTTCACCAGCTTCTCTCCAGTTTCTGTACCGGAGAGTGACACTGAATGCAGGCAGTGATGTAATACACATCACTGCCTGCATTCAGAAGAGGAGATCAAACGGAGCTTGTGTACTGAGCTCCGTTTGATCTCTGGCCGCAGAGCTGCTGTGCTGGTCCTGGGCTCACACCGGGAACAGCGGAGCCCGGGATCTCCAGCAGTGGCGGCGACTGAGGGGGGCCCGCACACCCGACCAGATATTACAAGCGATCGGGCGTCTCTACAGACGCCCAAACGCTTGTATGTAAACAGCCATCGCTGGCTGTTTACATTCACAAGCGGAATGGGATAGGACGTCTAAAGACACCCACCCGCCCTCAAGAAGCCGCTGTCCGGCCGTTTACTTGCAAAGGCCGGACAGCAGGTAGTTTAATAGACCAAGGAGATAATATCTGCATTGTCACGGTTTCTTTTCTCCACACATCACAATATTTTATCACCTCCGGAGAAAAGTTTCAGAGGCTAATTTTTTCATGGTGATTATGCCATGTTAAGCAGCAGTGAAATACCACCATGATGTGAGGGGAAAAGGCTGGAGAGAAGAGCAGAGAAGGCTTTTCAAGGATGCACATGGACATTCCTGGGAGGAAACCTATGATGGTGATGGGCAGGGTCATACATTATTCCTCCCACATGTGCATTAAAAATGCATAGACCCATTTTATTATTTTCTCTATTGTAGAAAGTTCCCTGCACAGCAGAATTATGGTCAAGCTTATAAGAAGTAGTTTGTTTTTTTTCCTTTTTCATTGCAAACGATAACCTTTGTGTCTATAAAACTAAGGGCTTGCTCACATCAGGTGTGTTGAGTTCAACACAAGGATACTGAGAAAACTGTTGTCTTCAATGTACCCTGTGTGTGTGTTGCTTTTTTGCTCAAAATTGAATGAAGTGTTTTTTGTTAATTGGGCTCATTCACAGATCAGATAAGCACAGGCTGAACACGAGTGCAAATGGAAAACAATTGTGTTTTCTGTGCCGTGTTTACACCATAACACTGCATTGGCACTTGTACAGCACAATGCATCTTGCCACTGCAATGCACTTCAGTGCTCCGAGTTATTGCACCATCCTCACCGCTCCTACACAAGCCCTCACCAGTTCACATGTTTTTTTGAAGCATGTACTGTCACAACACACAGTGCAGATGCAACACAGTAATGCATGCGCGTTATACACACCATGTGGGCATTTTCTGGTGTGAATGGGCTGCAAGCGAATTTGATGTGGCAGTTAAAAGTGGCAAAAAAAAATTGTCACTTGCCAAACTGAATGCGTTGTGCATCTTTCCTGATCCATCTGTGCTAGGGTTGCCACCTTTTTTTCAGGCCAAACCCGAACACTGTAGCGCCTCACGGCAATTTGTTTGTAAAGTACACTATGCATATATTTTGTCATTTAAATAACATTGGAGTTTATCACAATGTATCACAAATCATATGGAGTTAATCACAACTTGCCGTTGTGCCACTGGTCCACAAATATGGGGTCATCATTTATGTATAAGATGCCAGTGTGCCACAGGACCCCAGATATACATTCTGTACATACACAATGCCCCAATAAGATGCCAGTGTGCCACAGGTCCCAGATATGTACTACACAAAGCAGTATCCATATACATTTCTGCACTCCTTAGCAGATATCCCAAAAGTAACGGGTGCTCGTAAGATTCCATGTTAGTGAATATTAGTAGGGATGCTCAGATACCAAGTGCCATACTCGGTACAAGTACAGATACTTTTCCAGCTCCAAGACTTGGACTAGAGAAAAATAAAAAAAATTAGGAGGCAGCTGTCATTTTGTAAGGATCATACGGAGGTCCTATGATTTGTGCATTCCTGTTTTTTATTGAATGATTTGATTTAAAAAAAAAATTTTTAAATAAATATATAGGCTGCACCGATACCATTTTTTTCAAGTACAAGTACTTTTTGATTTCAGGACAGTGGTGGAGCGCCAGAGCCAGGTCCCAGCTGCAACCCTGGTAGATTCTCGTGAAAATGTCAAGTATCGGTATCTGAACATCCCCACAAATTAGGGATGCACTGATTTTATTTATTTTTTTCCCCCCTCCCCTGTACTCGCCAGTGCCTTGTGCCCCAATTATCAGGAAGTTGGGCGGCCGATCATGACCTGAAGCCAGCTTCCTATCCAATCAGGAAGCCGGGACGTGAGTCATAACCCACCGCCCGGCTTCCTGATTGGAAAGGAAGAACGGCTTCATGCTCCCCTGGCACTGCCAGTCAGAGTGAGATCTCCCTCTTAAGTGTAAGTTCTGCTATTGGAGGTAAGTATCAGAGCATTTGGGCGAGCACCGATACTAGAATGTCTATATAAAGGTTGTGGTACTTTTATGCAATGTCATTTCTGAGCCTGATGAAGGGGACCCTGGGTGACCCCGAAAGCGCTTGTCGTTTGAATGACAAGTATCAATAAAATGGGTTTTGCACTAACATGGAATCTTAGTGCTGGTGACATCTGTATTGGACAATATGTACTATTGCACATAAGATGCCCCCAGAAAAGATGTCACAGGGGCTTTTTAAGCGTTTTCTATGGACTTTTTGGGGTACCGAATTTTCACGTACGCACACCATTTTTAACCTGGACATGTTGGGTATCTATTTACTCGTTGTAATCTCATCTTTTATATTTGACAAAAAAAAGGGTTTTAAATAGTGTTTTGGGGCACTAATTTTAACTTAAGTGCATTTTTCAGTAAATGTTGGGGTTTGATAATAATAAGTTGCGCTAATTTGGTGCAACATAAAAATTTGCAAAATCTTGGCTTTCAGAAAATATATAATGTTTGGAGGTTTTAAGTATTACTTAAGAAAAAACAAAAAAAAGCCTTGGTCCTGAAGGGGTTAATACATGTAATAGCATTCAGTAAATTGTTTTTTGTTTTTTTTTAATTTTCAGTTCTTTAGGCTTTTCTCAGCATTTAAATGCAGACCTAGCTGATAAAGAAGAGTGAAAGAGGTTGGGAAAAATCATAAGGGCCAGTTTTAGAGCTGCAACAACTAATCGATTAAATCGATTAAAATTGATGATGAGACTAGTTGGCAACTATTCCCATCATCGATTAGTTGATTTTGGATTAGTTGCTGGCAGTGGAGGTACGAGGGGGGAGCAGCTGGGGATTTCAGAGTCACCGGCCGCAGTCTCTTCTTCCTTCTGTGTCCCTTTCACAGACAGCTGTAGCCGGCACGAAAGGGGAGAAGAGACTGCGGCCGGTGACTCTGAAATTCCCCACCCCCGTACCTCTGCTGCTCCTCCGTCCTTCCGTCCGTTAACAGTTCACAGCGTTACAAGTGTCCACTCCTTTTCCACTTGATTAACCTGTTTCCTTTTGGTTATATATCTCAAAGTGTCAGCTGTCCGTGCTCCTTATTTGTGTAATTATGCACTCACCAGACGTACACAGAAGTTTTCGGAAAGGTCCGTTCTGTTGCACCCGCCTGCTGTCAATCAGCAGAGGGGGACCTGATGGAGAACTTTCTCCTTCGGTTCTCTCTGCTGATCGACAGCAGGCAGTGCTATTGGCTATTGCAATTTAAAATATCCAATAGAAAGGTTGGCTATTGCTCCCAGCCACTGCCTGCTGTATTTACATTCAGCCGCTGAATCCAGTGAAGTGGAAAGGTGACACTAGGGGTCTAAAAGACCCCTAATGTCACCTTTAAAGAGAACCTATCACCTCCAATGTGCCATGACATAGGGGGCTTGTGAGCCCCCCATGTGATAGCAATGAGGGGGAAGAAAACAAAATCCCCCCTCCAAAAAATGTTTAAGTCCCCCAACCCTGCAAATGTGCATATACTAACAGAAACACAAGTTGGTTGCACCTACATAGAAAAACGACGTTTGCGCTACACATGTCATGTATCGCCGCATATTTTATTTTAAATTGTTTGTTTTAAATCCAATTAATTGATCGAAGTTAATTATCAGCTTACTAATCGATTTATGAAAATAATAGCTGCATCCCTAGCCAGTTTACACCAATTGCGATGCTTTCCAGAGCAGTAGCTGCTGGAAAGCACAGCAATCGCACACCAAACTCCCCTCTTTTTTCTGGGGTGGGAGGGGGCGTGGCCATGTCTCCAGTTCTCTAGAGTCCAGTGGCGGCATGCTTTAAACCATTGCATCAAACTCTTTGCATTCCACTTGGTGATGTAAGGCTTAAATGCAGCTGCTCAGCCATGGAAACCCATTCCATGAAGCTCTCTACGCACTGTTGTTGTGCCAATCTGAAAGCCACACGAAGTTTGGAGGTCTGTAGCTATTAACTCTGCAGACAGTTGGTGACTTCTGCGCTTCAGTATCCGCTGACCCCACGCTGTCATCTTACGTGGCTTTCCATTTCGTGGCTGAGTTTCTGCTATTCCCAGTTGCTTCCACTTTTTTATAATACCACTAACAGTTGACCGTGGAATATATATAGGGTTATTCACAAAAGGCTAAAGTGGTTGGGCAAGGCAGGAGCAGTGAACAATCTAGGACAACATAGCTGATATGGAAAAATTCTCCAATTCAGCTCCTGTTCCAGTTCAGCTATGTTGTCCTAGATTGTTCACTGCTCCTGAACTAGTAAAGAAATGTATGTAAACACTGTACATTCCCTTTGTTTTCTAATTTACTCAATTCTGCAGTATTGGAGGTTTTTGTTACCTTTTTTGTTTTTCATTTGTTACTGATTGATTCTTAATTATTGATGCTTTTCTTTGATCAGTAACACTACAATGTTTCACTTTGTAGCTAATATTGAATTCTGTTTCTATACATTCAATAATATTAATTCAATTTTTCTTTTGTCTTCCACAGAGAATGCGGTGAGGGTACGGTTCTGAAAGTCTGTAAGGGCACTTGAGGTAACTTCTGTAAGCTAAATATTATTGGTGTGAAATGCTCATTTGTTATGTGTTTTGGCTTCATTCCCAAACTACTTGTACTTCTCATAAAACTACCCGTACGATGCAGAAGTTGTTTAAGTGATGTCTGGTCTTCTGGCATGTAAGCTCGATTATGTATTTCCGTTCCAGTGCTTTTCTAATTTTAGTTTTGTGTTGGTGAAGAGATCACTCCTTTTATTACTTAAAGGAAGCTATAATGGTTTTGGGTCATGTATGTGTGTATGCATGTGTGTTAACCTGCAGATTTAAGTAAATTACTTTTTTGCTACCAAGGCCAGAGCTCCCCATATGCATTATGCACCAAGCATGGGTTTGTGTACAGTCATTAAAAAAAACAATCTTTCAAATGTTGAAAGGAAATCTAATCATAATATTTTTTTAGTCATGTTTTTATTTAAATGGTTTAACAAGTGTATTTACTTTGTTTTTTTTAAATATTTTTTTATAAAATCGTTCTGTAAAATTTTTTTCTTTCTTTCTTTTGTTCTTTGAGAGACACACTAGTTGACAGTGGGTTATAGTGCCATTTACAGGAGTTGAACGCTAGGTACACAAAAACTAAAGGGACAGCTCAGGTGGCCTAAATCATATCTAAGCCCCCTCCCAAATTATTATTTTTTTGTCCTTTATTTTCACCTGGCAATCCTGCCAGTAACATGCTTTCTGTCTAAGGGTGGATTCACACCATGACATTGCACGCACACTCCCGCAGAACCTACAGTGCGTTACATTATGTGAGGTAGGGCTGCAACAACAAATCCATTAAATCGATTATAATCAATAATGAGCAATGATTCTCATCATCGATGGTTTATGGTTAGTTGCCGCTGCTCTGCTCCTCCGTTCTCCTCCCTGCTGGTGCCGGTTGCAGCGGCCTGTGTACCTTTCAATCCCTGCATGTATTGGCAGGGACACAGACCACTGCAGCCGCCACCAGCGGGGAGGAGAGACTGCATTCCCCCGCTGCCCCTCGTACCTCTGCTGCCGCCCCGCTCCTCCTCTGCCCCCGTGCCTCCGCTGGTTCTAGAGGCTGAGAGCCATACCAAGCCTGCTATTGGATATTTTAAAATGCAATAGCAGGGTGGCTATTGCACCCGCCCACTGTCTCCTCTGCTGTCAAGTCAGCAGAGGAGGACCTGATGGAGAACTTTCTTCATTTAGGTCCCCCCTCTGCTGATTGACAGCAGGCAGTGGACGGATGCAATAGCCAGCCTGCTATTGGCTATTGCAGATTGAAATGCCCAATAGCAGGCTGGCTATTGCTCACAGCAATTAAGTTTAAAAAAAAATATTTTCGTTAAACTAAAATTAAACAGATTAAAAAAGTAAAAATGTAAACAAAAATGAAAAACTTATATTGGCTTAGTTTTACAATTCACATTATTTTAAATCCATGAAACTAATATAATACATGCAATTATTAAAAAAAAGTTGTGTATGTACACACACATACACACACTTTTATAAAATCGATTAGTTTAACTGATTGTTAACTTCGATTAATCGGGAAAAAAAAATAAAAAATTAACGTAATTTATTTAAAATACAATACACAAATGCAGTGTTAGAGACAAAGTTTGTTTTCAGAATAAAATGGTATGCACATCTTTTAAAATCGCACTTCACTGGAATGCAGGGCATTGCAGTACAACACGTTATAGTGCAGGCGATGGGTGCATTTGGGATCTATTGAAATGAATGGCAAAGGTGGCACCTGCAGCAACAGCAAGCCAGAAACTGACGCACGTGTGTGTTAATCATTTCCATATATTTGGTCCCCTTACTTCACATCATGATTGAACCATCATGGAGCCAGTTGAATAGGAACGCTTGGTAAAAGTCTATTGGGCGAATGTATGGGCAGTTGATAATCCTCCAAATGGGTGTTGAAAGACAACAGGAGTCTGATGTTTCAATAGTTTAATTTAGGGATTATTACCTCAAACTTGAATCAATGAATAAAGACAATATAGTTAAGAAAAATTAGGTATTACCAGCATGTTAAACTCCTGCCAGGTTCCCCATCCCCACAAGTCTATGGGTGTTGGTCTCCATATCATATTTATTGTCTAGTAATTTGAATAAAATACTTAAATCATCCATATTATAATCCTTCCAATTAGAGCTGCAGCTAACGATTATTTTCAAAGTCGATTAGTTAGCCGATTTTATTAGGTTCGATTAATTGGATAAACAATAAAATAACGTTTTTAAAAAGGCTCCAGTGATGGGACTACTAGTTTGTATTGAGGTTGTAGTCCATCACAGGAGCAAGCTTGGAGCGGTGGAAGTAAAAAAGAAAGATAGTGAGGTGTGCAATATAGTGAAATGGAAAGTGTAAAATTATACAGCAATGAATGCAGAATACCACCAGCTATAGAGGAATACAACAAATCCCAGCAATAGTACTAATAGCTGGCGGCATTCTGCATTGCGCTGTATAATGTACTATTGCTGGGTTTTGTAGTCCTCTATAGCTGGTGGTATTCAGCATGGCACCACTGTATAATGTATTATTGCTGGGATTTGTAGTCCTATATACAGCGCAATGCAGAATATCACCAGCTATAGAGGAATACAACAAATCCCAGCAATAGTACATTATACAGCGCAATGCAGAATATCACCAGCTATAGAGGAGTACAACAAATCCCAGCAATACATTATACATACAGTGTGTAATGTATTGCTGAGATTTGTATTCCTATGTATAATATACAGCACAATGTACCATCAGCTATAGAGGAATACAAATCCCAGCAATACATTATAGAGCACCATGTGTGGGAAAGTGCAGGCTTACCTGAGCAGTCTTCCAGCAACTTGCTTCTGAGATCAGGCCTGTCTATTGGCGGCTGTCATCACCCCACACCTGCTCCTCCTTACTACATCTCCCCGCGTCCCTGTGCCGATGGTGGATGTGGGTGGGCGGTGAGTGTGAGGCAGAGAGGAGGTGGAGCGTGGATGCGGGCGGGTCTGGCAGCGGCGAGCGTGAGATGGGGAGGAGGCCATTGTCAGCGTGTGGAGCTGCGAACAGGGCCAACTGATTGGAAGCCGATTAATCGATTATTGAAAAAGTTGACAACTTTTTCAATAATCGATTATGTCGATTTAGTTGTTGCAGCCCTACTTCCAATGATCGGGGATGTCAAATTGTGATGACTGTCCACAATCATTTTCATGGATAAATCTAAACCTTCATTTTTGAACGGATGTTGATCTTTGACCAATTCAAACTTATCCAAGTTTTAAGAGTGACAAAAGTCCTAGTTGCAATGATCTTCAGATAACTCCTGCAAGGGCAGATTGATCATATTCACATTTTCACCTGTTTTCATCTTGATTTCGGAATGGGTCTAGTTTCCCCTCTTTTCTTGTCTGTTGTAGTGCCCTGTGCTAAAGTGTGTGGAGAAAGTTCCCCAGTAGATATGATTTATGAAAGGCTCCCAAATTAGGGGCCAGTGTCTAAAATGGTGTATTAGCGTCTGCATTGTTGTCGGGTGTCATTTCTTAATCTAAGTGGTGTTTTTGTGGTTAATACTACTGTCATGTCTAGCCTTTTGTGTTAAAAGGTGCGTACCATCTACCTGTTTGTGATGTCCACCACCTCATTTGCATGCATTGTGGTTGGGGAGATCTCCCTTACCCTTTGATTTTAGTGCTAGCTGTGGAAGATGAAGAAAAATCAGATTCAGTGCTATCAAGTTTTCTTTTCATCCCTGGTGGAAATTGGTCTCTGAACATGCGTTTTTGTCTTTTGGTTCCAATTATATGCATAGCCACCTTCAAATGCTAGTTTGCCCCTAACAAATTTATCTTAGCCATTTATTATCTCTGTTCAGTTTCTCTTGAAAATCCTTTGGTTCCCTCTCTTTAGCCATAAATGTGGATAGTGTGCACCTTCTGAGTGGGTACATAAAAAATCCGGTTTGAATTATTGGAGGTCTTGTGGAACATTTATGGGATGTGGTACCCCTAATATAACCAACCCCTCTTTTGATATATTTATGAATCTTTTAAATGCCAGTTGAAAAATAACAGGCATATTTAACCCCTTAGTGACACTGCTTCACAAATGTTTTTTCGTTCCTGGGGTCTGGATCAATTTTGCCACTTTTGCTATATGTTTGTTTAACCATAATTTCCAGGGCTTGAAAATTCACTCAAGCTTTATCAGCTTCTTTGGGGGTCCCTATGTGACATTAGGGGTCCTTGAGACCCCTGATGTCACAATAAAGGGGACCTGTCTGTGTAAATTGGCTATCACATAGGGGGATTCTTAGCCCCCTATGTGATAGCAATAAAGTTAAGTGAAGCATTAAAAAATAAAGTAAAAAAAAATGTAAAGTCAAATATAAAAAATAAACCCACAAAAAAATGTTTTAAACTCTCCTGCCCCCACATACACACACACACAAACATGTGTCTGGTGTGCCTACGTGTGAAAATGGCGATTGCGCCACACATGTTACATATCCCCGCTAAAGTCAGAGTGAACACAATAATTTTAGGGCCATCAATCACTATTATTTTTTGCGGGCTTACGCAATTTTAAAGTTTGACATGTTTTGTGTCTACCCGATGTGACCGCATCTTTTATATTTTACCAAAAATATGGGTTAATGTGTTTTTTAACATAATGTAGGGAAAACATTTTTTCCCCCTGAAATTTACGGTACTTTTTTCATTCTATAGTAAAAAATAAACCCCCCAGTTGTGATTAAATGCCTGTCCCAAAAAATGTTAGCATAAATTGCAAGGCTATAATCCGGTCATGCTGACTGGTGACATTTTTGACTGGTGAGACACCCTAAAATTTTTCAAGCCCTAATGATAATTTCCATCTTCCTCATTCATTGAACCTACACATATTATATACAGTTTTTTAAAGGACAAAATGGGCTTTAATTTGATGTGACTTATGCATATATAAATTCTTCTTGTATTTTTATTTTTTT